CCTCCAGCACATAATGATTCCCCTCCCAAATACCATGCCCCCCCTCCCCGTTTCAATGGCAGCCGAAGCAGCAGCGAGGCAGAGGCTGACACATACAGATGTGTGCTAAAAATATAATATCAAAATAACCACCATTTTTAATCACTGTTATGAAGATGTCAGGGCATTATGTAGCTTCCAAGAGTGCTACATTCTTTTAGTCAGTAACAGCTTGGACTTTTGTCTTCAGCCATCATGTAAATGACTAGTTTTGAAGAATGATGTGTGTTTAGTTTGATTGCGCAGAAAGCTGTCTTTTTTTTTTGCCTTTTCCATATTGAAATCTGGGTCAAACCAGATATGAATTCTGAGCAAGGCATACTGTGAGCACAGCAAGAGAGAGTGCCACATTTCCCAAATATGAATATATGTGAAGAAAACACTGTTTGTTTGTTTTTTGTTGGTTATTATTATTATTTTTCTTTCTACTTCCTAAGTTAAGAAATAGATTGTATTTTAAGATAATGTGTTTTTCTCTCTCCTTCAAATTGAAAATGCATTTGATTTTTAAATATCTACATATCTATTGTAGATGTCACTCTTCCTCGCCTCAAGGCCTTTATTTCACAACTGTTGTCACGGTTACATATTGAAGCACTTCTCCATGGCAATATAACAAAACAGGTTGGTTTCAATGTGCTTTTAATTGATATTTATTACCTATTTTCCCCCAAATCTTAGTGTTTGTTAATTTTAAATAATAACCTTATTATTGTGTATTACCTTAATGTTCAATATTGTAATATTAACAGTAAATTTATCATATCAATAAATTGGAGGATAGTTATATAGTATTTAGCACACTGTACATATTTTGCAAAATGGGCATTATATGTTTCATGCTGAGGGTAGCTAACTTCAGTTATTTTTGTTTCGCATCTTACGTATGCTTTCATCTTCTATGATAATTTGGATATGCTATAATTAGTTCTTCTAATATTTCTGCAAAGTCCATTCATTTGGATTGAAGTATATTACATTTAATAGGATTTATTTCCAAATAAACACACAATTGAAATGTGAGGTGTTTCATCTCTTTTATAATAAAATTGTAATGTCAGACTATTTACTATTTCTCAGATTGGTGCTATATAATCTTAGCGTGCATCTTATTATATCTTCATTTTATTTAGTAATTTTTAAAGTCACCTTGTTTCTCTTATAAATACTTTTGATTCTGAATTCATTTAGCCACTTTGTTGTTAGCTTTTCTGCATGGTGAAATAAAAGGCATTTTGGCATCCGTCTGTCTGCATTACACTGTCCCATTCCCATGAAGCAAATAGGATCCAGGCACGAGGCTTAAGCATGCCAGCGCCTTAAGGAAATGTTAATTCAAATAAATGTGCAAAGTGCTCTGTGCACAAAACTGGGAGAAACAGAGCAGTATAAAATGATACAGCTCATGCAAATCCAGGAGGGTGAAGCAGGAAAACATCGACAGATTTACCATAAATGAAAAGGATGATGAACCAAAGAACAATTTCATCTTACATTATTAAGAAGCTGAAAACAGAAATTAAGCATGCAATGACTGTGTAAATATTTTAAGCTTTTTACATTTTAAATATAATGCAGATATAATGAGGATTTCTCCCTTTTATTTCTGAATGCTGAGTAGCGTTCATATGTATGGTTTCGGCTTTCAGATTTAATATTTGCAAGAGAGCTTCTCCTTTCTCTCATTCCTAATGTTGCTGTTGCGGTCAAATCTGTTACCCTTCTGCTGTTGTCACAGACAGATGAAGAATGATCAGGCAGTGAATAAAATCTGCAATGAATTTCTTCTTTTTCCAGGCTGCACTAGGAGTTATGCAAATGGTTGAAGACACTCTGATTGAGCATGCTCATACAATACCTTTGCTTCCCAGCCAGCTAGTAAGATATAGGGAAGTACAGCTGCCTGATAGTAAGTGGTTTGGCTTATCAGCTATAAAATGCTTCATTTAAAGTTGTGCATCTACTATAGCTTGCAATAAAGAAGGATGATTATGTCTTCAGCTATTTTTGTTTTTCAAAATTTGTTTAATTTCAAATTTGTGCTGCAGATATGTGAGAATCAACCCCACGATTTGCTTCCTTGAAAAAAAACCTTTAATCCTCCTGCATTGGTATTTTCTCATTTTCCAATTTTTTGCAAATATAATTCTAGCCGCGGTTAACACATTTACAATCAAATATACTTCTGCAGTTTTATGTTTGTCTGTGCTTGTTTGTTTAAAAATAAAAATTTCTTTAAAAAAAAAAGAAAAAAAAACCCTTAATCATTAAACTTATCTCTTTCAGTTGTATAAGAGCGGAATGATATGAGTACTACGCAGCTTACTTAAACTGATAGTAGTGTATACTGTAGTGGGTCAGTCACACTCATTTTGATAATGCACAGATTGAAACTGTTGCATACCCAGAGCCTCCTTGGCATTTGTTTGAAATGTTTGTGCATCTGATCAATTGATTCTACTAAAAGTGCTGTGGTTGAGTGCTTTTATTCCACGCATGGAATAAAGGCGCATTGTTTATCTGACACCTTGAGATGGGTTTAGACCATTGATTCTAGAATTGCAATCAGCCTGTCTTCTGTCAAGGTGCCTCGGAATTTTAAAACAGATTATATATTTAAGAGATGTCAGGTTGCACAAAACAAATAAAGATATTGGACCTGGATATTTATATTAAATAAAGTGCTGTAATTTGCTAGCCTACACTAAATAGAACATAAGATTCTCCCTTCAACCTAAATTCCTTTTCTCTTGCACTTTTTTCTTAGGAGGATGGTTCGTCTATCAACAGAGGAATGAAGTTCATAATAATTGTGGAATAGAAATATATTATCAAACGGATATGCAAAGCACTTCGGAGAATATGTTTCTGGAGCTCTTCTGTCAAATTGTCTCAGAGCCTTGCTTTAATACTCTGCGCACTAAGGAACAATTAGGTGAGCTTTTGTTTATATGTGTCTCTGATAAGATCACTATATATTTTAAATCAATTATTATAAGCTAATTTGCTGTTGCAACCTTTCATTAAGAATCCCACCTATAGCACAACATTAAAGAACAAATGATTGATAATCAGCTATTTAGGGCTGTGTGGTTTATTTACTTAACTGATTTTGCTGCCTTTGTGAGAACACAAGGTCTCAAAAACACTCCAAACTAAAATGTGATCATGTTTGGTTCTCAATAAAACTGAAAGAAATGGCGGGAAGCAGATGGATGCTTAGTCTAGAACTCACAATCTCATGGGCTTTGAAATAAAAATAAAACATACTAAAAGCATAATAATTGAACCCCCCAAAATATCTGTAAAAATTACAACTTAATCTTAACCAGAAGGCAATCAATTTGGGACTAACAAAATCTTTAGGGTCTACTTTTCTACAAGCTAGGCAATGCCATCAAGAAGCTCTCATTCAAACCAAGATTCATCACTTATGCCATATTTAATATCAAAATAAGAGGCTAATTAAATTTGAAGAATATGACAGTATATAACTCCAAAAGAGGCTATACATGGAGGGGAGAGGAACATTTTCAGTAGAGTCTGAACTTTGTTCCTACAGCCTGCCAGAGCAGTTTACTTCTTGCAGTTTGCTCTTTTGCCCTGTTTGCTTAATGACTGAGGCAATCACTTAACGACCACAACCAGGAGTGCTGAGATTACAGCAGATGAGTGAAGCAGCCCCATGGGTGTCTTGCTTAACAAAGGCTTTGCTGAGTGATCAAAATTCCAATCCTTGTAGTGCAGTAGCTCTCCTCTTTGTTAATAAAGAGTCTTTAACGTAATACCAAATATTAACTGCTTGAAATAACACAAACACTTCTTGTATCCAGTGGGAAACCTTACCTGGCAAGGTAGGATGGGACGTGAAGGGTATGGAGGCTGGGTCTTTCTCAAAAAATTAAACTGTAGTATGAAACAGAAAGTTAAATTAGAAAAAAGGTGTTTGCAGAAATGTTTTATTATTAGAGTTTTTTTTTTAAATCCTGCCTTTATTACTTTGTCAGTGCAACAAACATACAAAATATTCCTTCTTCCTCCTATTTTCCCCCCACAACATTTTTTAACATCAATTGTAAGTCAGAAGATCCTTCTATTATCAATGGTGGTTCTGGAAAACAGTCTAGAAGTACCATATTGGTTTGCCTCCAAACTCATACTTCTGCAGTAAATTTAGCTTGTCACAGTCAAACCACGGCTGATAATGATGCTGTGTGCTTCATTAAAAAAAACCCAACTCCTACCAATATATATAGAATAAAATTTAAAATTATCACTTGGAGCGCACATAAATGCAATCTCCCGTGCCACCATCTCACCAGAAGTCCAGTTAACAGTTTGACTTCAATAGCTATTTTAAAAAGTTATGCTCAAATTCAATGTTAAATTAAAATTTTAATTAAAGGTCAGGATACAAGAAAAGAAATTGAAGCCTTTTTTTTCTTGACAAAAAGAATGGTAAGAGATTGCAATGAGATGATGAGATGAGCCGAGGTGGCGCAGTGGTTAGGGTGCAGTACTGCAGGCCACTTCAGCTGACTGTTATCTGCAGTTCGGCGGTTCAAATCTCACCGGCTCANGGCTGTGAAATGGTATATAAGTCTAAGTGCTATTGCTATTGCTATTCCCTCCCCCCCCTAGATTCCTTTAAAAAGAGAAGGATAAATCAATTCTAGAAACATTCTGCATAACAGGAACACAAGACTTAAATGTAACTTCCCACTTTAAAGGTGGGAATTAATCCAGGACTTCATAGCAATTGCCACATTAAGTAAAGATCATAGAATCATGATGTTGGAAAGAACTTGGAGATCTAGTCCAATCCTCTACTCAGATTATTGGATGGAAATCCAACTCATTTGGACAACAGCAGGCTAGGGAAGGTGTGTGGAATTTATATCTGGTCTTGAAAAGGAAGTGGGAGAGATGAAACAAATACTCAGCTCTAGGAAAATATAAAGCACAAGAAAGATGCTCAGAATAGCTCTATCTTGACTTTGTGTTGTTTAAAAAGGGGCAATGAAGATTTGGGGCATTCTATCAAGATTCTGTTAATATAATCTTACTTAATGTTTCTTCATGTGCTCAACTAAATAACTTAATCAGTGTTTGAAAGAGAAGTCAATTCAAAAATGTTGTCTTTTTGCTACCACCTAATGGTTGAAAGGTCGAACAGTAGTCACAAAGTGGCCTAAGCCCTGAAATAATTTAGCCCATCTAAGGTTTAGAATTGAAAATGCACTTTAAAGAACTGAGCTCTTGAATTTCTAAAGCTGCCTAGTGCAAAATTCCCATGACAATAGCCACAAGGGGTTCTTGCCAATAGAATGGGAAAGAAAAAGGGAGAAAAAGAGGATGTGGCATTGTGCATGCCAATTAAAGGACACTTTTCACATACAGTAGTGGATGATGTTGGACAGATGTTGGAATATTCCACGTCAACTATATATACAGTTTGGACAGCCAAACCACATGGGTACATAAATGTGTGCTGTGGGGCCAAGAGGAACTCAATTGGCATCATTTTCAACCTGCTCCAAAATGCAAAGGGAAAACAGCCCAGCAGCTGGGCTAAGTCTAATATGAAGCATTGCACTATGTTATTTGGGTATATTCAAACTTAGCAGCAGGGAAGTAGGAAACGGTCCTAAACTAGGATTACCATATGGGCTGATAAAGTCCAGTCAATGTGGTAGAAAAGTGATACCAGTTACCTAGTGGTTATTCAGCTTTAGCCTTAACTAACTTTCAAATATCAGGAAGTTGTGTCACTATTCTTTGAAATATTTGGATTTTGTCCTTCCACGCCAGAATACTAAAACTATATACAGGCTGCAATCACATACCTTGGATGTGATTCATGGTTCATTGACTTAAATAGAAAATTCTGAAGTCCTTGGTGTGTTCTGAGCTTGGTTGTTTGCTTGCAGATGTCCAAAGTCCAAGCAAACATCCATGGTCAGAAAGCACTAAGGACTTCACAGTTCAATCCTACTCTACATATATTCTCTTTTATTAGAGGTCTCTGTTAGCTTGCACTTTCATTAATATATTGTTTCTCAAATAGTCCACCTGGATCTACCACTGTGTCATAATGTTGTTAAAGTTGATCTCAAAGTCACTTTACATTTCCTTGCGTACATCATTCTATAAGGAAGAAGTTTCAATCAAAAGGTCTAAAAGAGGTGAGAAAGTTGGAAATACATATACAAGCTGATATTGTTATGTTATTGTTATTACATTCACAACAATATGAAGCAACAGCTGCTAGTTCTTAATGAATGAAGGCAAATATAAGTGACACAGAAAAATGTTGCAGGATCCAAACTGATTCGGTCACTGGGACCAGAGGTTTTGTCTTCCGAGCTTTTGGACTTGTGCTGGAGCCCATCTTCAGGGAACTTTTCTGTAGCAGAGTGTGTCCTTTTTGTGTGGTATTTATAGTGCCTGTTGTGGGTTTTTAGATGTTGATTGGGGTGTGTTGATGGCTGGCTTTTAAGTCATTAGCTGTCCTTTTCTTCTGCTGCCCATTTTTCTAACTTGACAGATTGTTTGACCTGAAGTACACTCCTGCCTCCATTTCTGCACAGCAGGTTTAATCTGTTAATTGGTTAGAGTGCAGCACTCCAGGCTACTACTTCTGACTGCCTGCTAACTGAAATTTGGCGGTTCAAATCTCACTAGGCTCAAGGTTGACTCAGCCTTCCATCCTTCCAAGGTGGGTAAAATGAGGACCCAAATTCTGGGGGGCAATATGTCGTCTCTGTA